GCCCGCCCCGCTGCTTCCTCGGTGCTACCGCTCCCCGCCTTGTCCCCCCATGAGGTGCCCGGCAGCTCTGCCCCTGCGGGACGGCCTCCCCCCCCCCCCCCCAGAACCCCCCCGTTTGGGGGGAAAGAGGCATCCCCCCCCCCTGCCCGCCGCCCGCCTCCCCAGGGCTGAAGCCGCCCTTACCTCATTTCAGTCACCCGGCGGCGAGTGGTCGGGGGGGAAGAGCTGAGGGGCGGGAGGGTCTTTCCCGGCAGGGGACCCTTTAATAACCGCACTGGAACCAAAACAACCCGGCAACGCTCCCGCACCCCCAGCGGAGTGCCCAGGCTTGTTCCCGGGGGGGAGGCAGCGCTTCCTGCGGCACGTTTCGCCCCCTCAGGCTGCCTGCCGGCCCCGCTGCCTCAGGGCAACCCCCGGGGGCACCGGCCCCGCCGAGGGCTCCCCGGCGGGCAGCCGCATTTCTTCCCCGGCTTCTCGGGCCGGTGCCTCCCGGGGCGGGGGGGGGACGCAGAAGGCTTGTGCTGCCGAGCTGGGGGCTGGCTTTGAGGGAAGCCATCGCCTTTTGTTCCGCCTCTCACCCCCCTCCCTGGGCAAGCTCCCGCCAAACTTCTCCTCAGGAGCCTCCACGGGAGCCCCAAACCCCCTGTCTCGCCCTGCACCTCCCCGAAGCTTTTGGGGCTGTTTCTTGCTAATGCGGCCCCTCGCCCCATCCACCCCCGGTACCCCGTGGGCTGGTGGCGGGGGCCCCGGCTTTGTGCTGCCCCAAACGGCCTGGCCAAGGGGTCCGACATGGCAGGGTGGAGCTGCTCCAAAGCGGGGCTCCGCTGCCTCGGGAGCTGTGTGAAACACGGGCCGAAAGGGTCCTGTCCCACCGTGGCGTAATTAAACGTACAACGGATAAATCCACTGGGCAGAAAAAAAGTGACACGGGGAGGCCGAGTGCCCCCAGCAAGGTAGCAGCAGGGTCCGACGCGGATGCCCCCCGTAAGAAGTGGGGAGCTGTGGCTAATTTGCTGCTAAAAACATGCTGGCAGTGGTAGGATAAATCGCGAAACCCGCTTCTCCCAGCTCCTGCCCCATTTGATCAGAAAAGCACCTTTTTGTGTCAAACCAGAACGAGCCCAACGGCTCCATTTCACACCACGGTGTTAAGTATAGGGGTTCACCGGGCGCTTGCAGACATCTAGCAAGGCATCAGCCCCGCTCCGGCATGATGTATTTCAGTGCGTGGGTTGTACAGAAATGCATGTGTTAAATGGATACTTCACGGGATACGTTATTTTGCACAGAGCATTCTGGCAGAGGCAAAACAGGCCTAATATGTCACACCCAATGCAAACACAAGGTGATCCCGATTCCGCTGCTGGTTGTAGCCATGCAACCATGGAGAAGATTGCAAGACGGAGCTGCCGGACTGCAAATTTGGGTTTTGCGAGGGTCAGGTCAAGCCCCGTGGCATATCGTCACCAGCCAGCTCTTTTCTGAAGAGAAGCATTTCCACACAACCCCTGCGTGTTCAAGAAATGACCAAGAAGTTTTGGTGTGAGACATGAGCACTGGATTTCTTCCCTCTGAAAATCACATTATCTGTGGAAAGATATTTTTTTGGACATGGAGGCCTGGGAATCGGCTGCTCTCAGGGAGTGTCCCTCACCATCTGCTCGTACATCTGTCAAATCCACTCACAAACCCCTGCCCAGAGTCCTTGTTCGGGAAACTGTAGGATAGATTAGCGCTCCTTTTTATTTTCCTATGCTGCTATGATGTGAACGTAAGGGAAAATTCAGACGGAAGGGGTATTTTGTTAGTTCTGAGGCAGGTATGCACATTTTAAACACACACAGTTTAAATCTCCAGAGGAGGCTGAGCTAGAGGGAAACCCTTGGCCACAGCTCAGCCATGCATTGGCTGCAGGAGCCTCTGGGAGCAGAGGGTGTGCTGTTCCTTCCCCCCTTTTTTAAAGCCTTTTCACGGTTTTTTATTCTTATTTCAAATTACTATTTGCCCCCTGTGGTGACTGATGAAAGCATCTGAACTTTTGAATATTTTCATGAATACTTATTCATTTTCTTGCCTTTTTAAATATTATTTTTCTATTGGTTTTACCTGCCTGAATTTTAGATAATTTTTCTTTATTACATTTGCGTTCTTTTTTTTTTAATTGTAGTACAATGAGGAAAGCAAAAGAAAGTTATCTGCTGTTTGATTTTGCTCCTCAGGGCCCAAATCCTGCAATGAATCCTCCTTCATCCAGACACCTGAGGATGCGCAAGTACAAAACTCAGGATTGCTGGTACACATTTCACTTGACATTCTCCAACAATTTTCTATTAGCTATGTAGATAAATAGAGGTATGTACATACACACATGCATGAGCTGCTCCTATAACATCCAGATAAATATAAAACCTTGAGAAGGCATTTAGATGTTTATGGCTAGATTCATGGTACATGATTTGTGGGATCCAGTGGCTATTACTAAGTTTGGAGCCAAGTTTAAACTCTTTTGGCAGTCACCAGGAGTAAACAAAGGATGTGGAGTTTAGATCAGCTACACCGTCTTTTGGAAGGGGAGAGGGGTGCCTCTGTCCTTCACCATGGACTATGCCAGTGGTCCAACATCAGCAGGTTCCTAATTCTCTTCCATTAAGGAGAATGAATTGGGACCTTCGTCTTTAAAACATACCTTCATTCCACCAGAGGTTCAACCCATTCTCAAATCACTGATCCAGAGACAACACAGTGCCACAAGACTCCTTAAATCCCCCCAAGACAGTAATGGTTGAGTGCAAAAGCCTCTATGAGCAACTTCATCCCAAATTATTAGTATTTAGACTCACTTGACAGACCTTCAGACGTACAGCGTAGGCTCCCAGCCCTGCTGGAAGTCTTATTGAAGTCAGCATCTACATCAGTAGCTGCACTGATGTAAATGCTGAAGAAAGTTTCCCTTGAAAAGATTTCAGTAATGATGCAAATGATTTCAATAATTTTATTGATGCTGTTTGTGGGGGAAGGAACACAGGCAGCTCCTCCATGTTCACCTCCCCCTTCTGGGGCCTTGGGTATCTGGATGGATTGCAATGGTCTTTGATGGACAACAAAGGCTCTTTTGTTCTGTCAAAGAAGCAGAGCCAGTAACGCCCCAAAAGTCAGCACCAGAGCTCCACTCACCCGACTAAAAACAAAAGAATAAAGTGTGCAGCAATGCAAACTGTCTTTCTTAGAGAATTAACCCCTTCCATCATCCCAACCCCTCCGCATTCCTACAGAAGGACCTTTATGGCTGCCAGCATCTTTTCACTTCCATCCTATTGCTCTACTGCAGGCTGTCAAGCCCAATCACTGTCAGAATTGCTGATAATTAAGTATTACCTCCTCTTTCTTCACCTCAGAAAACTGCAAAAACCAACTAACTCTCTTAAAACTACTGTCGGGGGCCCGGAAGTTCGATAGTGGCATATCCTGCACTGACATCGAGCCTTGGGTTTTTTTGAATCAACCACATCGTTATAGTCAATGAGAACTGTTAGCCTCAAAAGCATGTTACATGCTGTCTCCAGGGGCAAGGTTCCTCACTGAGCAAATCGAGTCTACGCTAAGAAAATTTCCCTGGTAAGGTTAAATTTGATTTAAAAATTGATCCAGTTACACTGGTACAGTGTAAATAAAATTTAACCTTAAATAGATTTAAATGTAGCTTCTACTGGTTTGATTTAATTCAAAACACTATCAACATCTATGTAGCTTCACTTGCATTAAGAGTTGGCGTTGGTAAAGGCAGATAAATTTTACATGGATTTAATTATCAAAACTCCAGCAGATATAGCCTTAACTCTGAAGTGAGGATGGAGGTGCAGAAGTCAGCACAGCTTCTTGATTAGTATGTGACCAGGCCCTGCTCCACAGACCCAGCAAGTGTTAATGCTCAAAGGGAGGGGAGAAGCTGCCCTCTCCTTCTCTTCCCCCCATCCTTTGGTAAGTCCCGTAACGGCAACATTCAACTTTTCCTGGCAGAGCCATACTTCAGCTAAAAGATGGGCACAGAGCTTTGTGTTAAAATGCAACAGCATAGCTTTGTAGGATAAAATGTCTTGATTTCCCAGCCCGATGCCACAGGTATGAGGGCAAGTCAATGGAGGCCAGATAATTCACAATTCTGAAAGGAAATACCTTTTAGGGAACGTGTAATCAGCCTGTGGA